GCAGGGAAGCAGAGCTAGGCATATCCCTGGACTGTGGCCAGAGGGGACTCACTGCAGACTTTATCCTTGTGGGGACCCTGCAAATGGATCTCAGGGTTCCACTGTCACCAGAAGCCGTCTGCAAACCAAGTGCTCACAATTTAAGCTCTGATACAATTTCCTCCTTCGTATTTGGATTTTATTTACAATCCTTGGATGATGTGCTTCTTTTCCACGCAGACTCAGTTGATGCCTCACTCAGATGGCCACTTGTCTGCAGACAAACCTTGAGATCCCAGAGCTATTAATAGCATGCTCTGCTTCAGGTGGGACCCTAGTCCCCATGTGGCCCCCCCAGGGGGACTCAGGCCACCACCGCGCGGGTAGACCAGATCCAGGGTGGCCTAATCATAAAACTGCACTGCCACCAATTGTGGGGTCTTAAATTGGAGTCCTCCCATAGTTCCGAAATGCACAGAACAACACTTCCTGCTGGGCCCCTTAACCTGAACCCCACAGGGGCATGTCTACTCGGCTCTCTGGGGTCCCTGTGAGTTGGCAACGACTCCCTGACAGTGAACTTTTGGTGAGAGAGTTGTACCGGTTGTACCGGTCCTGTCGGGTCGCTGTGAGCTGGCACTGACTCGATGGCAGGGGGTGGGTGGGTGTTCCATCATAGGTATCTATCACTTCCTTAATAACAGAAAGAAATGCCTGTGAAGCCAAGATTCATCCAAAAGCAGTTGGTTCTGTCTCGCCCATGTTTGAGTGTTGCCAGGGCCCCGGGGGGCAGGGAGGAGTTCCTTCTCCCACCCTCCACTGTTCCGAAGACAGACAGTTCTGCCTTCCCCACGGCTGTGCGTGGGCCTGGGAATAGCCAAAGGGGACAGTAACTGGGGGCGGGCCCACAGTTGCCAAGTCTGCCCCCTCGTGAAACCCAAGTCCTGCTGACAACAAACACTGGCTCCGTTGGAACCCAGGGGACACAACGCCTGTGGCTTCAGCTGCTAGCCTGTCCCGGAGTGTGGTGTCCCCATGGCCTGGCAGGGTGCCCGTCCTTTCTGGTGCTCAGAACACGGACAAAGCCCGGCCCCAGGGATCCGGTTCCCTGTGGAATGCCTCTGGCTTCCCAGCTCAAACGGGCCTGGGAAAGAACGGCGCTGGGGTTTCATCCTACACTTGGGAAAATATCTGAAAGCAGATTTTCCAGACTCGTGGCTCCTTGAGACGGTCCTGGGGTGGCGGGTCCTGATGGGTGGTTAGTAGCTGTCTGTGGGGACATGCTCAGCCTGCCAGCATCACGGGAGAAGTCAAGGGCTGTGTCTACGAAGCAGGCTGGGTCAGTGGTGGAGCACGCGCCTTCTATTGTAGGTGCAGATGAACGGAGCAGGCTGCCTGGGGGACCCTGCGGCGCTGGCTGGGTGGGCCTTCCCTCAGAGATAGACCTTCTTGCCTCAGGACCACCCTCAGCCAGGGCCAGGGCCAGGACCGGGACCTGACCAACTCACTGCCGGCGAGTTTCTCACTCATCAAACGGCAGTTGGGTGCATATTCCACTGTGGTCTTGTTGCCGAGGAATGGGCTCCAAGCTAGGTGCCCTGGAGTCTGTTCTGACCCATAGTGAGCCTGTGCCCAACAGACCCGAGCACCGTGCATCCTCTCCGTCGCTCCTCTGGCTGAGCCCACGGCTGAGCCCTCGTGGCAGCCATCTCCCTGAGGACCGTCCTGTTTGGCTGCCCTCTGCTTGGCCAAGCCCGGGGTGCTTTCCCCGGACTGGCCTCGTCATCCTGGCTTCTGCGGAGCACTCTGGCTATCCTTCCACACAGATGTGGGGCTTTCCAAGTCTTCTCCAGCACCATGGTTCAAACGCTTTCTCCTTTTCTCATCGAAATGCATTTTATTTAAAAGAAAGTATCACCTATAAGGATACGTTCTAACAACGAAAACATCTACAGGTATCAATCTGCCTCAAAAAGCAAACACACTGCCTCTGCCTCAGTTCCAACTTACCGAGGCTCTACAGGGCAGAGTAGAGCTGCCCCAGGCCTTTCTTCTTAATGAAGAAACAAATGCTGCTTAATTGTGATATTCTTCAGTGAACTTGTTTTGTTCAGTCTTTTGTCTTATAGAAAATGGGAAGGAATATATACAGGCTATCTCCAGGTTAAGAGTGACATTCGTTCCTACCATTTGTAGATTAGTTAGAACAGGTTCATGATTTTTTTAAAAATCACTTTATTGGGGGCTCTTACAGCTCTTACCATAATCCACCCATCGTGTCAAGCACATTTGTACATATGCTGCCATCATCATTTTCAAAACCTTTTTCTATTTGAGCCCTTGGTATCAGCTCATTTCCCCCCTTCCCCATAAACCCCTGATAAATTTTTTCATGTCTTACACTGACTGGTCTCCCTTCACCCACTTTTCTGTTGTCTATCCCCCCAAGAGGGAGTTACGCTGTTCATTGTGATCGAACTGCTGATCTGTGGTTAGCAGCCCAACACGTAACTTTTACCCCATCAAAGCTCCCGATATTGCTGTCATTGTTCCTGAGGGGTTTATCTGTCCTCGATTCCATGTTTCCATATCTTACCTGTGTCAGTATACATGCTCTGGTCTAGCCGGATTTGTAAGGTAGAATTGGGGTCAGAACAGCAGGGTTGGGGGGCGGCAAGCATTAAAGAACTAGAAGGAAGTTGTATGTTTCGTTGGTGCTATACTGCACCCTGACTGGCCCATTCCTTCCTTGTGACCCTGCTGTAAGGGGATATCCAATTGTCTACAGATGGGCTTTGGGTCTCCACTCTGCACTCCCCCTCATTCACATTGACATGATTTTTCTGTTCTGGGTCTTTGATGCCTGAGACCTGATCAAACACGCTGTTTTGCTGCCGGTCCCTCCCTCACTCACCATCCAACGCTCCCCACTCTGGGTGCTGTCCATGACGGGATGGTGGCCAGCAGGTGACGGGCACGAGCGAGGGCACCATGAGGACGCAGAGCAGAAGAGGACACTCACTCCCGTCAGTCCTCACTCCAAAGCCTCCTGCTCTTCCTCGCTGTGGAGGACCGACGGAAGGATGCTGGACAGAAGGGCCGCCTCCCGTGTCGATGAACTGCCCAGTCCCTCAAACTCACTGCCATAGAATCCATGCTGACTCCGGTGACCCTACAGGACAGGGCAGAAGTGCCCCTTTGGGTTTCTGAGACTTTCTGGGAGTAGAAAGCCTCATCTTCTGTGGAGTGGCTGCTTTTGAACTGCTGGCCTTGCAGTTAGCAGCCCAACATGACCACTTCCCCACAAGGGAACCCCTAGGGGGCAGTCCCAGGGGCCACGGGGCTGCTAGAAGTGTAACTGGAACGGACCTGATGGGCAGGCATCAGCATTATTATTTAAGGGGGAGACCTTTGGCCGCACAAGCTCTTGCTCCCAAGATGAGTGGCCTTCAGGCTGCCTGGGGCCCTCCTTGCGCCCCCACCGCCGAGCAGCCTGGCCCCACACCCTGGGCTCTGTCGGTGACAACAGCACTCTCCTCTCCAGCCTGTTTCTCCACGTGTAAAGGGAAAGGGCTGTGGTGAGCTGGGAGGACCCTCCCCTCTGACCTTGCCCGCATCCCTGCCCCCATGAGCAGCAGACGGAGAGCGAGCATCCCACAAGCCCAGAACAGCAACCTCTCTTTTCAGGAGCGTGATTCCTTCCTGGTCAGTCTGACGTGAGGCCACTGCAGGCAGCAGGCCAGAAGGGACGTGGCCAGGGCAGAGGAGTGGTGCTGGGGTGGAAGCTGGTTGGTTCTGGGGCTATTTTTCAAGCAGAGCCCCATGGACAAGCAGGGGCAGCATAGGTGGTTCCAATACCCCTCGTGGGGTGTCAGGCACAGTCAGTCCCTGCTCTGGGCTCTCCCACCGGGGGTGAGGGTGTCACCTGCTGACGTTGAGCAGTCCTGTGGGCTGTCCTGCCTGCCCACTGGGACGTGACGTCTTGGAGAGCAGGAGTCACCATCTGCTTTGATGTCTGTGCTCCTGTTTTCACCTTCTCTCCATCCTGCCTGGGGGCACAGTGCGTGGGCTGATAAGCCCACGGCCAGCAGTTTGAACCCACCAGCAGGTCGGCGGCGTCCACTTGATAGCAGTGAGTTTGTGGGTCTGTCCGTGATGGCGCCTGTGGCTGTGGTGCTGGAAGCTATGCCTGGGTATTTCAAATACAAGCAGGGTTGGCCGTGTGGACAGTTCCGGAGTGGCTTCCAGGAAGAGGGCGGACTATCAGCATTCGCCGTGGGTGGTCCCGGGGTGGCAGCCCTACAGAGGGCAGCAGCAGGTTACAGCACCAGCAGGTGTGACCCTCAGGTTGGCAGACACTAACACACAAGTGAGGGGAGGCGTTCTCTGGCTCCAAAACAATGAGGGTCACGTTGTAACCTGTCACCTCAGCAAGGGCTTGGCCTTTACTGCGCACATTGACATTTCCATGGACGGTCGTGTGACGAGGCCCAGCAGCCCGAGCTACCATCACGGTGGTGGTGGGGGTGTGTGTGGTTTGTGTGTGAGATTGCATGATTGTACCACCAGCACAGGTGGCACCTTGTTCTGCAGCAGCCAGCTGGCAGGACCCACCGATGCGCCTGTCCCCAGGGTAATGGTGTTGGAGGAAGGCTCGAGGTGGGTGAAGTTGCCTCTGCCCCAGGGCAGTGTGACCGCAGCTCCCTGGTCCCCGGCCAGCCGATGTCTGGGACCAGAGCCAGCAGTCATGGCCTTTCCGGGCAGCAGCGGCTCACATGGCTCAGTCTAGTCTAGGCAAGGCGCTATCCCACACTGAGAACTGGCAGCACAGAACCTGCAGAGGGGGGAGTGGGTGGGTCTGTCTCCCCTTCCTATTGGCTCCAGCAGCTCTGGTGCTGCAGCAGGTTATGCATTGTTGGGCGCTTGCACCCCCGCAGAGCTGCTCTCCCGGGAAGTAGTGCAGCCACTGACTTCCTGTGAGATGGAAGCAGGCTCCGGTCAAAGAAGCGTGACGCTGCAAACCAACTTTGTGATTTTTATTGGTGGGCAGGCAACAACGCTGTGCTCCAAGGTACCACTGGACTGTGGACATGAGAGCAGCAGGAGGAAGCAGACGGCAGAATTACACAGAGCACATGTGGGGAAGATCAGTCTTCATTTTGCCCGTTTTTTCATTACGTGTACACAGAAGCGTGAATGCAATTTGGAATCGTTTAATGGCAATAAAGTTACACTCACCGTCTATGTGGGCTGACACCTTAGTTCCAAACAGCGCGTCTGCAGAGCGTCTGCAGTGCGCACGTCGGCGGCTCTCCTCGCCCGCCTGACGAGGAGTCACGGGAACCAGCAGCGGACTTGTGGTGTTGGCGCTTTTTGTCGGGCTACTTCTCTCCTGGCGACTGGCTGCTTCTCTTCTCATTCATCAAAAACGGGGGAGGGGGGAGGGGGGCGTGGCGCGTGACCGAGGAAATGCTTCCATTTTGAGGGAGGGCAACACTTCCAGCCACGGACAGACATGGCAGCCGCGGGGCGGATGCAGACGCTCCTCCCACCGCGGGGGGCGGCATCTGGGAAACGAGGGCGTGGTGTGCAGCTGGTTTGAAATCCATTAAGTCTATTTCAACCGAATGGTCTGGAAGTAAAAGACACTAGCTGAGCACAAAGTCCCGCTCTAGCGCACGGCAGCAGAAGGGGGCAGGGGCGAGCGGAGCGTGTCCTTGGGGCGCAGCGGCTAGAGCAGGTCCACGCGGCGGTAGTACAGGAGGTAGGCTGTGCGCTCGGCCGTGGGCTTCACCACCTGGTGCTGGGCGATCACCCTGACCGTCTGGTCGTCGATGCGGAGCCAGCCGTTGAGGCCGATCTGGAAGACGTCGGTCGTGTAGTGGCCACCTGTGGCACTGTCCCCATGGTGGTAGACCACTGGAAAAGAGAGGGAATGCGCATGACGGGGGAGGGGCCAGTGCACCCACCTGGCTCCCTCCCAAATCGGAGGCCCAATGAACAAGCAGGCCCAGGGCCTGGCATGCTGCTCACTAGAGTTCTCATCTGAGAAAGACTGGAAAAACTGCCCCACCCCCACCCCCACCCCCGCCACCCGGAACCCCCTAGATGCTTGGCGGCTGCAGCTCAGGAAAGGGGACAGCAACACCAGGAACACACAAAGGCACAGGGGGACCGGGGTGGGGTCCACCAACACGGAGGGCCCACCTCAGTCTATTCCTAATTTTCCTAGCACAGTTTCACTTTAATAAAAGAACCGCTTCTGGTCCCTTTTAACCCTGGAATTCGATCGTGAAGTCGGCATCAAAGGCCTGAGCAGACAGACAGGAGAAGCCGGCCAGGGCACAGCCCTGTTTCACGGAAACACCGGCCCTTGGCTGACTAGGTCTCTGGCCCAGCATCTAAGCAGGCTGGGGAGAAGTGTGTCTTCACCAGCTCAGGGAGCTCAGTTCTGAGACCACATAGGGCCGATGACTCCAGTGTGGGGGCCAGGGGACCAGAGAGAGACCCCTGCTCTGCCCCTGTACCAGCCTCCTCCTCCATGGCTCCTCAGAGGTGGCAAGAGCAAGGCAGCCAGTCCCTTCTCCCACAGAGAGCTCAGGGCCAGACTCCAGGAGTTGCTTAGGACAATGGGAAAGGCTGGTGTCGGCTGGGTGGGAAATAGGGCCTCAGTACCACCAGGGTCTCAGAGCAGGGAGGAAGGGGTGAAGACCCTCCCAAGAGTGTGGAGCCCAGAGCTGCCTGCAAGGGTCCCAGCAACCAGGGAGAAAGAGAGAAGAGACTGGGGCCAGCACATTTGAATGACTGACTTCCCAGTGCAACCCAGGCCTGGCACTCAGGATTAGAGGGGCGGGAACCTCCTTCTGCCACTTGGGGGCTGCTCAAAAGGCAGTCTAGATTGACCAGCTGGGCAGGTTCGGGAGGGAAACAGACAGCGGAGCAGAGGCAGCACAGAGGGCGACAGCAGCAAGGCCAGAACACGCTCACATCGACAAACGAGCACTATACGGTTGGTACCCAGAGCCCAGGATCTACCAGGGACAGGCAGGTGGCTCTGCTGGCTGTGCTGAGCCAGGAGGAGGAGGACTTGAAGGAGGGGATCCTGGGAGCTGCAGTGTGTTACCTGCCCACCCCACCCCACCCTGGCAGTCTCGGGCCTGGGAAGAAAAGGGAGTGAGTGGTGAGGGGGCCGCAGCAAGCTTGGGAGTGGGCCACTACCATGGGCACAGGCCCCACACTCACCTGCAAAGAGCCTGTAGGTTCTGTGGCATTTAAAATTCTTATTCTTCACCCCCGGAGAGAGCAGGTCTGAAAGAGAAAACACCAACAGCTCCAATCCACACAGAGGGCTCTCAGGGAAGAGCCAGAGCGGCTTCCTCCCTGAAGCACTGCAGGTGGCCAGGCCCAAAGCCCAGGCAGCCCAGTAGGACATGGTGACTTGAGAGGAGAGCGCAGACTGTGCCCTAGGGCACACCTGATGCTGCGTCCTGACGGGGCAGACAGGCTCGACTTTCTCTTGCTAAGAGGCTAATGGAATGTGCCCAGGCAGTGCCCAGGATGAGGGGCTTCTGGGGTCCTGCCACCACCTGGGAATGACCAGAGGCAAGCTGGTGGCACAGTGGATAAAGCACGTGGCTACTAATTGGAAGGTCAGTAGTTCGTGTCTACCAGCCGCTCCTTGGGACAGAGCTGAGCACCTCGGTGGCCTGTGGGGCAGGGAATTCCCACTGCAGTCTACGGAAGGCAGGACAGAAGGAGCTGCATGTGCAAGTGGACAGACACACAACCGAGTTGGCCCAGGAGCGTGGCACCTGCCAAATGGGCATGGGGGTGGGGCAGTGCTGTGGCTGAGCAGGGGAAGCTAGAGATGATGTAGACAGCCCCACTTGGGCTCCCCAACATCACTGCCAGCTGGGGGGGAAGGGAGCAGGGCCACTTAGCACTTCCTTAGTGGATGGAAAAGGATCATGTCCCACTATCCAGGAAGAGGTCACAGGACCCAGGAAGAGCACCCCCAGCCAGGAGAGTCAGAGTCCTGGCCATGTCCGGACCACGAGCCCTGCCTGCACTGCTGGCTGAGCCAAGAGGCAGCCTAGTTGGAAAAGCCAAGCTCTGGCTGAGAAGCAATCGCTCTCCTGTCTCCAATCTAGTTAAAGACACGCTTTACTAGTCTGTCTTTATTTTTCAAGATCCCTTAACGATACAGACTGACTAGGAGTTGGGACCCAGGAGGCCACAGAGGAAAGAAAGGCAGAGGGTGCACTCGCCGGTCGGTCTGGGTGGCATTACCTTTGCTGATCTCTAAGTCCACGGGATACTCGATGTTCTTGACAAGCTTCTGGCAGCCACCAGTCTTCTCGTACACAAACCGCTTGAGGTGCAGAACAAGCACGGGTGGGAGCTTTTCCAGCGTCACCCTGCGACTGATCTCCACCTGCAACGATGGCAAGAGCAAAAGGACCCACTGGGGGGCTTGTGGGACCAGGTGCCTCAGGGGGCAGGGCCGTGGTTGCATGGGGCCACCCACAAAGTGAGCTCATGAGTGGTTGGTGCTTCTGCTCCCCCTCCTGGTTGGTGGGAGTGTCTGGGGTCCCAGAAGCCTGCAAGTCGCCAGCTGAGGCACAAGAGGGGTCTCCATTCAGCTGAAGCAAGGGCAAGGAGGAAACAAGTGGGCGGCTCACTGCCCTCCCGAGGCCAGACGAACCGGATGGTGCCCTGCTTCTCACAGTTAATGAAAGATTCTGCAGACGCATCTTGATCAAGAGAGGGGAGGGAGGGACGTAGCATGCAATTTCCTACTGTCACGGGCTCTACACTTTCTGAGATGAAGCGTCCAGGAAGGCTCACGGGCAAGTGAGCAATGTGGGCCAACCCGGCTCTCACCCCACCCCACCCCCGGCAACCCCAGCCAGTGCCAGATGCAGGCCAGTCTTCTTGGCGGCTATGTCTTGCTAACAGCCAAACTTCACCCCTTCAGCCAGATCACAGACTCCTCCCCGTCAGAACCCGCCGCCCTCCCTGCCAGCCTCAGGACAGCCCGGTTCTCCCAGAACCTTCACGGGTGTCCACACTGAAGAGACCTGGGCCCTAAAGAGGACTTTGGGAACATTCTTTTCCAGGAAGTGCAGCTGGTCCTTCACACATGTTCCCACAGCACTGCCTCCTGGGACAACCCCTCTACCTGGCTCCAAGGTCCCACCTGATGCTGGGCTGCAGGTCAGAAAGGTGGCTTGCTCTGACCTGTCAGAGTTCTCCACACCACACTCCTGGGAAGCTGTCCTCCCAGCCAAGCCAAGTTCAAATTTCATTCTGTCTCACTTTACAGAGAAAACCCAGCCCTCCTTCTCACCTCTGGCCAGCCAGGCTGCCCACCGCCCACTCCTGCCCCCCACCAGCCCAGCCACCAATAGAGGAGGAGTATCAGCCACCCCACCAACATGTCTGTCTTTCCGAGGGAAAGGCACAGATCCAAAGAGAAAGGAGCATGGGCCCCGCTGCCAGGGACAATAATGCCCTCCTGAGTGACGGCGGCCACAAAAACAAGCAAGGGTGACTGTCCCCATGGTCAAACACACACAGAGCCAGCCACACTGCCGGCAAGCCCCACTCTTCCTGGTTCTGTGGAAGCGTGGCCGCAGCCTCTTCTCCCGCATCTGCGCTCGCAGGCTGCGGCTGTCTGTCGCTGGCTCTCACCACTCTCAAAACCCCAAACTGCCTGGGCAAGAGTACACTGGATGGGCATGGGTTCGCTGCCCCACTCAGCAGCCCCTGGAGGGCCACAGGGTGTCCGGGGTGAGAGAGCAAGCCTGAGGTGTGGATGGTGACAGATTCTGAGAGGCCTCGGGGCTTCCCTGGAAGCACCAGCTTATTGCCACCCCACACGGCCCAGGGTGGAAACAGCACTTCACAGGCCACAACAAACTGGTCAACAAAGGTGGCCACAACTGGCCTGCATGTGTGATGAGGCTGAGGCCACACGCTGGCTAGCTCAGTGCAGCTCCTACAGGGAGGTGGGAGGACATGGGCAGAGGCTTGCCTGCCCTGTCAGTTGGTGTTCCCTTGACGTAAAGGCCGTCACTGGGACACAAGGGCCAACAGAGCAGCACTCAGCTATACAGCCTGTGCAGCGCCTCTCTCGGTTGACAGACAGCTGCATCCTTCCCACAGTGCACCACAGAAGGCCACCAGGACCAGGACTGGAGAGCTGCCAGCACCCCACAAGATGGACGTTCAGATGCTAACCACGAGGTAGGTGACATCTCTCACTTGCGTGAGGACTGGACACAGACAGCACTCAGTAAATGGGCTCTGAGACCTGTCAGAAGGAGAAAGGGGGATGGGTGGTGGGGTGGGGGTGGGGGGTGGTTCCTACTGCTGTAAAGAGTCACAATCTCAAACCCCCGACAAGGAGCCGGCCCTTACAGCACAGAAGTTCAGAGCTACAGGGGACTGGAGGGCAGGAGTTGTGCTGTCTACTTCATTCACAAACATCTGGCCATTTCTGCCCAGAAGAGTAAAGCTCCGGTGTCCATTGGGGAGCCCAACGAGAAAGTACCTCCTGCTTGGTCTTCGTGGTGTAGCCTTGGACAGACTCTCGGGCCACCAAGCTTTCCAGGGCCTCCTGGACAGTGCGGATCTTGTCAGCCTGAATGTCCAGTTGCAGCGTGAAGAAGGGCTGCAGTGTAGCCGACTCTTTAGAACTCTGCTGGTAAACCACAGACCTGGGCAGGAAACACGCACCTCTGAGCTCCGCCGGCGCAGGTTCCGCCACCACCCCCAGCAGCTGCACCTCCCTCCTGCACCCCCTGCCTGCCAGCTGAAACATGCGCCCACTCGAAGGCTCTGGAAGAAGGAATTGTACTGTCTTCAGATTCCTCCACCTCCATCCACCCTATACTACTGCTTGACACGCCGGGAGCTACGGTCTCAGCACACTCGCACGTCACGGTTCCTCAGAGACTCACTCCCACGCGAAGTCTGAACACATGCACTGAACAGCTTGCTTCCCGGCATCTCCCCGTGGGAGGGCGGGGTGCATAACCAGAAACCAGGTCACATGCCAGAACGGCTCCTGCTGTCCCTGCAGACACGCGCCTGCTCAGCCGTGTTAGCTCGGCTGGTCTTAGCAAGGAAGACCAATGAGGGGGCACGTGGCCCCTGCAGGCAGAGCCATCTGGTTCACCCACAGGGCAGGTGTTGGGAAGCACTGGCTCTATGCTTCCCAGCCCAGTACTGGCTGACACCCCACCCCACCCACCCACCCAGCGATAGCCATTCCCCCAGTTTCAGTCACAGCAAATCAAAATCAGAAGGTGGCCTCTTCACTTCTGGGGCAGGGAGACATGCGCACACGCCCGGCCGGTGAAGAGGGCTGAGGTTAGAAGCAAACCTCCCCTTGGGGACTTGTGAGGCGCTTTCTTCCTGCAACCTCACGTAAGCAGCCAGTTCAGGACAAAGACCCCACAGAGGCCAAGGCTGGTGACCCACACACAGCAAGCGGGCCACTCCCCCAATGTGAGTCCTGTGTTCCCACTGGCTGGGGCCTGGCAGGGACTCCACATCCCCCAAGCCTCACCTGAGCTGCTCCTGGGCCTCTCAGTGAGGGCACGCCAGGGGACACCTCCCTGCTGCCCGCTCTTGGGAGCCAAGTCCTGCGGCCCTTGCCCCCTCCCTGTCCACTCGAGTGCCTGTGCCCAGAAGGGGTGCTCAGCTGTGCCAACCTGATGTGTCCGCCAAAGATGCCAGTGATTGGGGTCTGGCCGAACTCGGCCTGCCGGGTAACCGAGCTCTTGTTCCGGGGGCCCACTTGCTCCCACTCGTCCTCGCTCCCCTCGCCAGGCTCCTCCTGCTCGTCCTCCAGCACCTCCTGGCTCCTGGGGCCGTTGGAGACGGCGGGCTCTGGAAGGAGGAGAGCCACTCAGGAATCCTCGGCGGCCGTGAGGACCAGGACCGGCTGGGATGAGCACCAGGGGCAGGGGGAGCACTAGGTGAGAGGGTGCAGCAAATACTCGAGGGAGGAGGTTTTACGTCACATTGTGAGCTTCCGTGACTCAGGCTAGGACCCTGGTCCCTAGGACACCCACGGAGGGCAGAGGGTCACTGGCACCTGCATTGATTCTGAATCACTCAGGCAGAGAAGAGCAAGCAGTTCCATCAGGAGCTCTAGTGGCACCACGGGTTAGCAGTTGTTGCTAACGGCAGGTGGCCAGATGGACACCACCAGGTGCTCCACAGGACCCCCAACGGCCCGCCTCCCTGTGAAGGACAGCCTAGGAGAGCTGAGGAGAGGGGTCTGCTTGGCCCCTCAGGGCTGCTGTGAGTGGGGTCAAGGCCCACAGCAGGCGTGGGAGGTTCTGGCAATCACAGACAGGTATTCACACAGCCATCCTTTCAGCTTTCCTAGATGTTTTGTTTTTTTCCCAATTAAAAGTTGAATTTAGAAAAAGAGGTTCTTTGACTTATTCAAACACAACACCCTCCATCAGGCCGAACAGGCAACCTCAACCTGAAAACAGCTCATTGGTGCAGCTGGAGCATGCAGCCCCTGGCCATGGCTCTGCTGTCTTCTGAGCTGGCCCTGACCCCAAGCTCACACAGGAGCTGGGACTGATCATGGTTGGGACCACCCACCCTACAAAAACAACTGGCTATCTTAATGAGTAAACCCATGATTTTGAAGGGTGGGTCGATATACGGGGAGGGAGGGGGTGTCAAAGCAACTCATCACATGAGCATGCAGCACTGTTAAAATAATGCTCCTCCCACAACCGCCTGCGTGACCTACTGCCGTGACTCGGAGAGAGGAGCTTCTTCAGACTCAGCATCTCCTCATGCAGCCCGTTGAGGATAAAGCCCAGGTACTCTTCAGCATCCTCCTGGCGGCCCTGGGAAGGTCACGCATCCATGGCGTCAGTGGAGGGCAGACGGGCAGCAAGGACCTGCATATGTCCCCTGCCCCTCAGACAGCAGAGACCCCAAAGGGGCTTATTTTCTTCATTTATGCTCCATCTAAAACCCTCCACCCTAAATGTGCGTCCAACGCACAATTTATACTCTAACATCCAAAGTTGCTTTTTTGTTTGTTTAGATTAAAGACCAGAGCCAGCTGCTCAGCTACCTCAGTGACAGGATGGGGACCCTAAGCTCCCTGTGAGCCACCGTGAGCTGACTGGTACCTCAGATGAGCCTGGGGCACATCCCCGGTAGCCACCACCCCATGCACTTGGCCACAGCTCCTAGGGACCTGGCCACACGTGCACCTCCCGTGACGCTGGCTTGCACTCCCAGTGGGACTTTGAGGAATGGTCTCCAGAAGCAGACTTGGCCATTCCTGTTGTCCCCCTGGACAGCGACAGTGACAAGGACACCATAGCTGTGCTGAGTCCCATGGGTGGCTCAGCTGAAGCAGGCACGCATGCCTGCGCACACACCAGTGCTGGGCACCCAGGAGTCATGCAAGCAGACTTGGACTCGGAAGTCAATGATCAGTATCACACACTGATGTTCACCGAAGCACCTACTCCCCTGGTCTGCCTGGCTACTTCAGAAGGCCCTTCCCTCCCCACCCCCAGGATCACAGGGCAAGCGTGGGGCAGCCACGGGCCACCAGGGGCCAGAGTAAAAGCTTTCCCACAGGCTCTGCTAGGCGGGGCCAAACCTTTTCAGACAGGCTCGACTTGATCACTGTTAAGAGCTGGTATATGTACGTGGGCTCAAAGGCAACTCCTGGACGGATGTCCCTCACGATCTTGTCCCCAAGAGCTGCAACGGGAAGGGACAGGCTTTCAGAGCCAATGTTCTTGCAAGTGCTGAGAGGCCAAGGTGCCCAACGTTCCCAGTCCCCCCCACCCCTATGCAAGCAAGACCACCCACCTGGGGTCTCCGCACACAGCCAGCCCTGTTACTCACCCTGTCTGGGTCTTGGAGGTATCGGCATGTTGGTGAACTCATTCATCAAGCGAACACTAAGGGTGGAAAGAGAACAACAGCCCACGTTCCGAGGGTGCTGCTTAAGCACGCTGTCACTGAAGGCCCACGGTGGGTGGGCAGCATGCGAACGTGGACATCGGCAAAGGGAATGGAGTCAAAGGTGAACGGCCTTTCCCAGGGACTCTTGGTTTCAGAAGGTGTGACCTCTATGGCAGCACACTGAGCCCACTGTGTCAGGAGGCGGGGGTGGACACTGCCTCTCAAGATCACGACTCAATGTTCCACTCACCCAATGCGCATGAGACAATCACAAAGGGCATTACAGGACCCACTGCTCAAGATCCAAGACTCAGCTCAGTGTTTGGCACTCTCATCACCAGAGGGGCATAACCACCCCTTGTCCCTGCCATTCAGCTGTTGCCAATTCAGAGCCGCCCTATGGGCAGGGCAGAACTGGCTCCATAAGCTTCTGAGACTGTCACTCTTAACAGGAGTAAAGAGCCTCACCTTTCTCTCAAGGAGCAGCTGGGTGGTTTCAAACTACTGATCTTGGTTAGCATGCCAACACACAACCCACTCTTGTCCCCAGGGCCACTTACGCCCCTTACGCAAGTGCCTTACTCACAAGCTATCGATCATGGGTGTGGAAGTGCACGGCCGCTGCACTTTGGAATACACAGGAATGAACCTCATCAGGTGGTACATCGGAGGGCACGCGACCAGGGCCTGCAGTGTCTGCAAGTCGGCAGTGAGGAAGCGTAAAGGAAACAAACCGACCGGCAGGTGTCTTCAAGGCCCTTAACCACTAGCACCGAAAACCCAGATAAACCCAGGATGGGCGCAAAAGCAGGGCAACCACCTGCACTCTGGCGTCCCTGAACCCAGTGCCATGAAAGACAATCTCCCATTGTAAGTGGCCACTCTGCCCACAATCTGACCAAGTACAAGTTGCCTGATTCTGGCACATTCTCACTGCACTGTTTTGGGAAGGAATAACCTTTGTTTTGAAGGAACCGTGTTTGGGATTCTGGACTCTGTTGAGCTTGCCCATGGGCACTGAGCTACGTGCAGTGCAGACAAGGAGGAGGGGCGGTGGGGCGGGCAGTGCCGAGAAGGATACAGCGTTAATGTAGCACCAGTTGCCTTTGTTGATCAGTCCACGAGGTTGCAGCGACACTGGCTTATGGACGAGGGTGACGTTCTCCAGTAACTCTGAAGGAGGAAGCAGCACGTCTGAGATGAACAGCATGGAAGGTAGCTCTTCCCTTCAACACGGCCGCGTTCAGGGACTCTTGGAAAAACACACCGCCCACAAAAAGGTGCCTTCTGCTACCGCAGTTCAACACCAAGTGTGTGGGTTTTCTAGTGAGATTTCTCTCAAATGAATGAGTTACTTTAACACCAGCATTTATTCCTCTGCATGTGAGAGCAAAACTAGAGACCACAGATCTGTTTTAAACAATGGAGCATTTTAAAAGCCATGAACCATGATGAAAAGACACCAGTATTTCTCCTTGGCCCGAGGCAACCAGGACACTTCCTGGACTCCTTCAGTCCCTAGAGTTGGGGGTGGGGGCTGTGGACGGACATCCAGGGCCTGAGCTTCACTTGCACAGAATCCTCAGGAATGAGCACACCCAAGGCATCCTGGTGGTGGGTAAAGACCCTCCTCTTTGGGACCTCTGTCCCTGACTGATTCAGCTGGGTGTACCAGAATCCCCTTGTTCTGTTTAGACACAAATCCACTTACCCCCGGTGACCGTGTGCCATCATAGTCCTGCAGCGCCCCCCACCCACCTACCCACACCCCTGTGAAATCAGCCTCTACAGTGCTTCAACAGGAAGGGGAGGACCCACGGCCCCAAGCACTCTCAGAATCGGGCCCCTACGATCTCACGGACACTTTCTCCAGACTCCTCAGCAGCTCCCACAAACGCTCCCAGTGAGGAAATAAAGCTCAGAAGGTAAACAGATTGTGGGAGCACTCAGGATGGCTGGAAGGGCAGGGGGCTGGGGGGTTGGCAGCCTGGCCCTGAGGAACACATCCAGTAGCCCTACTGCATCACACCCCTTTAGTCCCATTCAACTACGTTCTGGCACCATGTCAGACTCGCAAGCTGAACTCCAGTATTCAGCGGCTGGACTTGAGGTAGCTTTACTGTTTTTATGAAGAAACCCTACTGGCGTAGTGGTTACGTTAGGCTGCAACCTAAAATGTCCACAACCTAAACCACCAGCAGCTCTGTGAGAGAAAGACAGGGCTCTCTACTCCCCTTAACCGCAGTCTTGGAAACTCTCAGAGGTGGGTCTGCCCTATGATTTGCTCCCTTGAACTCAACCTCAGTGAATGATGAGTTTACGGTCGTCATCTCAGGAGTCAAAGCTAGGTGACGTTGCCAGAACACCTCGACAGAAGCCACATGAAGCGGCATGGTAAGCTTCCTGCACATGGCTAATGCTTCAACTGGTGCTTTCCAGAAACTAGGGTGCAGGGTCAGGTTCCCATTTAAGACCGACGACTGCACAGGGCAGCAGCTGGCTAGGCCGGCACTGCCCCTCCCAGCTGAGTGGCCCTGTTGTTCAGCCACCTTTCACTGCCGCTTCCCTCATCCTCACAGCCTGTGTCAGGCGGAGGACACCCCCAAGGCCCATGGGCTATGGATGAACTGAAGTCTGATAAAGGCAGGGCCCCAGGTAGCCCCTCTAAAATAGGGTCAAATCACAAACATCAGCAGGAAATGGCTAAGGAGAGTCCAACACAGGCAGAGCGCTCCATACACCAGTATACCAGGGCAGTTGGGGGGGGGCGGGGCAAACTGTGCCTTCTAACCAATGGTGCACAGTGCTTTCACTGCTTTTGCTACTTTAGGGCATTGGAGGGGACAGTCACATGATAGCAACCAGCTCCCGAGGGAAATGAGCAGGTCTTATAACCCACACAGACGCTGACCTTCTCACTTACATGAATACCTGTGGGCACACTCCTTTGTTTTCAACGCGCTCATGGCGAGCACTGGTCTCGACTTTGGATATACTGTAACTGGGCAACACCACCCATCCAGCAAGGTTGTTATTCTTAATAAACGACGTTACTGAATGGGCACTTGACTGTACCCACAGCACAGAACTGGCCAGTTAGCTTGCTCGCTCTCTGCAGCACTGCCTTGCTCTGCTTGCTCTGCCTGCCTACTATTCCATACAACCTTTAAACAGAACACACAGGCACACACTTGAAGGGCCACGAGGGATGCGTCTGAGACAGTGCAGGTGTGGCACAGAGCAAGGCTTCTTGGTAAAGACCCAGGAGAAGCTGACCACCACACATGCTGCCAGCCTGGACGAGCTTGGCCACCATGGGAGGCGGTGACTCGGAGCTCAGCGTGGCTTCACCCCTGCCCTCACACTGACCATGCACAGCGGGCACCCAGGTTGACAGGCAGCCATCCCCACTCCCGGGTTCCTGAGATGGTTCAGTCTGCGTCTGTCCCCCTTGCCTCCTGTTATTCCTACTGAGAAATGGCAAGTGCCCCCTAACCTATGCAGACCCTTCAGGGACACAAGTCCCCTCCCTTTGTCTAAGGCCACACTCCCTTAGCGATTAGGACAAAGTTCTTAGTAGCTCGGGCTATCTTCCTTCCCACTTAGGGAGACAAGAGTGACTGCAACTAAGGACACATGAAGGAGAAGGTGACCTGCCACCAAGGTGAGCGTGGAGCTGGCGGCATTAACAGGAGACATCAACGCATGACACGCCGGCTGCGTTTTGCTCCCTGAAGTCGTGGCTGGTGACGTGAATGGGGCTGGCGCTTTCTAAGCACAGGTACAGAGGCCAGCTTCTGGGACCACCACTGGCTCTGGAGAGTGCTGTTAGGCCAGACACATGAGCTGTCCCCTCTCCCTCTTTCACCAAAGGAAATGAGTCGCCCCTCTTAGCAGTCGGGGACCCATGTACACTGAATCCTACAACAACAAACACTGGCAGGTCTTTTAAGGGGGTTAGAACCTCACTCGGCTGCTTAAGATAACTGAGGCTTCGCTGGGAGACAAGCCTACTAACGGGCCCTGGTGGTGCCACTCATAACGTCAGCTCCTCGTTGTGTTTATACAGTCAATCCTTAAAGAGAAAATGACCTGGAGGGGCTGCAGGACGAGGCACTTTACAGGGCTCTGAAGAGGCTGGTGGGGCTGTGGTGTGAGCTGGGCACTGGGTCACCAGCTGCTCTGCGGAGGAAAGCTGGGCTGGCTGCTCCCACAGAGACAGAGGAAAGCCTCCGCAAGCCTAGGAAGGTGGCTCTGCTTGTGGCAACAGGCTGGTTCACGCACGCTTTACAAGGGTTACTTTGTGACTGCTGGTCCTACATTGTTTCAGAGGTTGTCTTTGCAAAGGAGAGGAGCCCAGGTGGTGTGTGGTTAAGCTTTCAGCTGCGATCCTCAAGGTCGGCAGGGTAAAACCACTAGACAGCTTCTAAATAGTCTGGGTCATCCACCAGGCCGTTTACCTGTGCCACCAGGTCGCTTTAAGTCAGCATGGACTTATGGCAGGGGTGTGTTGAATTAACATGGGAAGACTGTGGACAAGGACATCTTTCATCTCAGGCTCAAAAGGAGGAGACCTTTCAAAAGCAACTTCCCCTTTGCCTGTCATCGCAGCATCTTTGTAACTGGCCCGATCTAACAGCAGGAGGGAGAAAGAGCTGGTGGTGGGAAGCATCAACACCCAATTCAAAGAGAACGGCTTAGACAACGCTTAGGGCCTAGGTTCTCCTCACAAAGCAGACACTGTGCTCACACACTTTTCAGAGGTCCCAGCACTGGCTACAAGGCTGATGAAGCACTTCAAATGGGAAGCTTTCCTTCCTTTCAACAAGGGCTGGGAACTCTGTGAAGTCATTTAGAGGAACAGAAGTATATGGTTACAAAGTTTTCATGACTTTGAAATTAGGAGGCACATTATAAAAAGCAACCCCCCGGGGATATCATTACAGGTTAATAACCTTATAACGAACTAATCTAGAGGGGCACACCATTCCACCAGCACTGTGGCTGTTGTCCACTGCAGAGCATTCTAAAATTCTATCAGAGAAGTCACCTGGCTTTTAAAAAATGGGAGGCCACAGTACCGCTAGTTGCCCTGTCAGCTACTTTCTCACGTGAACAGAATGGCAGCGCCCCTTAACCTCAGGTCTGAAGCCAAAACGGCATCTAGGTACCAGGACCATCAGCCACTGGAGATCCAAAGGAATTGGTTCATCTAAGGGCAACGTTCAGAAGGGTCAGTAGAGGTGGGGAGATGAGAACAGGAAATCCGAGGGTCCATTGTGGAGATCGTGATGGAGGAGCTAATCCACGTGTACAAACTACAGGCTGTGACACTGACGATCGGCTCTGCGAACCTTGGCCTGATTCACAACTACAAAGAACGGCAGACCACCAAAAGTACTCTTTCACATACTCTAAAATAAACAGAGGTGTGTGTTTTATAGGAGCCCTCAGTGTATTGGTTCCCCATTGGGCTGCGATCTGCATGGCAGGCAGTTCAAAACTACCAGCAAGCAGCAGCTCAGGAAGGAAGGCTTTGCTGTGCATCAGCACTGACATGATAGCGGGGAGCTAGGTTTGGTTTTCTAGTGTGTCTTTACTACTTGCCATCCCTTAACTGTACCAAAAGACCATGCTTTACTCCTTCGTGCTGGGGCTGACAGCTTGCTGTCGCCCCACCCGGCTCCTGGGGCTGAAGGCAGCCCAGGGCTGCAGAGCATGCATTCAGAAAGTGGGACTGAGAGCCAACCTCTCAGCGTGGCACTTCTCACGCCGGTCCCTGAATGCGGCAGCTCGTGCTTCTCAGCGAGGTACAGGAAGTCTCCCGACTCTGGAGAGGGCTCCATTCAACCACTCCGACCTGAGAGAGTTCTCATGCAAGTCAAGTACCTTATTATTGTCTTAAGGTTTTCTTAAGGGTCTTAAGGTTGTCTTAAGGTTTCTTAAGGTTTTCTTAACAGGGTCCTTGTAACTGAACTTCTGAGAACAGTGCTAGGATCAGACCAGGCGCTGTGACACTGTGTATCAGTGTACCTTACACACATCCTAATCAAGGACTACCTGTTCACACACTGGCAGCACTCAGATACAGCAAGCCACATTTTCTGGTTTCCCAGTGGATAGAACAGTGCTCCACTGGGGCTACTACACGTGCACTAGCACTATGAAAAGGTGGGATATATTGTGAGAATATCCAAACTGTGGCAGAGCAGGAGGGAACAGAGGTAGTGGGGAAACTGGTGCAGGTGGACTCAGATGATGAGAGTCACCATCAACCTCCAGCCTGTAAGCCCTGCTCAGCCTGCGCAGCGGCACTACACAGCAACGTGCAGTCGTTTCAGACCTGCCTGGCTTCCTGCATGGAGGTTAGCTCATAAGCCTGGAGTAAATGGTGCTGCTGTAGTTGTTTTGTTGTGAATGGTCCAATATCAAAGCTTGTGCATTTTAGAGAGAAAAAACTAACTTTGGGCTAAATGCTTTGGGGATTTTTCTTTTCTTGTCAAAAGCTACAAAACGATCAACAAAAATAAGTCCATAATAAAATCTACTCACTCCAGAAAGGTGTTACTCACAAGCTGCTTCCTGATGCTTTGAGAAATCAAAGTGGGCCTGGGCCGGAGTTCTGGCCAAATGGTGCCCCCGCCTCCCAGAGAGGACGCATGCAAGCCCTGCTCACACCACGAAGCAACGAAACACAGGGATTCGACCAGAGGAAGCAAAGCCCGGCTACAAAAAGGAACCAGTCCTGGGTGGGGACTTTCCACCTGAGCACGACCAGCGGGATGTGTACACGCCCCACTGTGGCTAGGTAGATACACACCAGACTGCTTGTCGACTACACAGAAAGCCAAGGCTGCCTTCAGGAACCTGCATGCCAGGCACCCTGCAGGCCCAGAAGCCATCAGCACAGTCCTTTGCCAGGGCCAGGCCCCACCCACCCTAGTGCCCCCACTCTGGCTGGCCTGGCCGTGCTGTAGTGGCGTTGCTGGAACTGTACCTGCGATCTGTATGGCTACGGGATCCTCTGAGACCGGCACAAGCCCTTCTTTGACTTCCACCTGCTTTTCAGAGACCAGGGGGGAGGTGGCTGGAGGGGAATACTTAGTTTCCACGTACGCCATGGGCGAGGAAGGGGGGGGCTTGGAATCATGGAACAGACTAGCCCAAGACTTGGTCGGCTGGCTGGTGGGTGCAGAGCCTGCCACCAAGCCTGTGGGGTCAGCCAGGGAGGAAGTGCTCTGAGGCTGGGCGGGCTCTGCGTCCAAGCTTTCCACTATGGGTAACTCCACCCCATTGGCAGCTGGGGCCTCGCCCGAGGATTCAAGTATTTGTCCATTGGCAATGCCAAGGCTCTCAGTAGTATCAGTCCCAGCAAAGGGCTGGGCTACGGCTGTCCGTAACAGGCCATCCTGACCAGCCTCTGTGGAGAGGCAGGCCTGCTCAAAGTCAGCCAGGGGGCATGGCTCGGGCTGCCCTGCAGTCCTGGCATGGCTGTCCAGTGCTTGGGGGAACAGCCCGTCATGCAGGGAGTCACTGATGAAGTCCAACGAATCCTCAGGGCTGTTACAAGTCCTGGCGGTGACCAGCGGGGCCACATCGCCCAGAAACTCGGTGTCCTCGGAGCCCACACTGTTAGGGATGACCGGGTGGGCATGGGCGTGGCCGTTGACCAGGGTCTCTGCAACAATACTATCATCACCACCATCTTTCAAGTAGCTGTAATACCCAGGTGGCCGTTTTTTCTTCTTCTTCCGCTCCCTCTGCCCAAGACCACCGGGGCCACCATCGTCAGCCAGGCCTTCAGCCTCCGGGTGGGAACTACCATCCACAGCAGCCAGCGAGCCTGGGAAAGGGCGCTCACGCGAGCTGCAGTCTGTCTCTTTGTCTGCATCATCAGAGGCCTTTGCGGAAGCTGTACAGCCAAGGATAAACTCCGGGGCCTGAGGGTTCAGTGTGCTTGAAATACTGTAGCTGGGGGTTCTCGGCGACGTGTCACTGGGTTCATCCACTTCGTTCACCCCAAATTCGATTCTCTGGTAGTCTGGTCCTGCAGAGACAAGAAGCACAGTAAACACCCAGCTGGTGGCCACAGCCGGACGAGAAAGAGGGGTGGTCCTCCTGAGTTCTCATTTGCTTTTAGAAAACGAATTCACACCCTTTTCCGTTCAGAAACCAATCTAGGGCACATGT